AACACCATTACTTTGTGCTGAGGAATGTAGTGCGGGTCTTCAGGGGAACCGAGAAAGGAGTATTCTAAGGGACCCAGTGCATGTTTGCAGCTTACTGGATGGAGATCAGAGGGAGCAGGTATGGTGGGGGAGCCGGTCCCTGCTGACATTCCTTCTCCCTGGTCCACAGGGGCTGGAACTGATGAGGACCCCTCATTGAGATCATCTGCTCCAGGAACAACCAGGAGCTCAGGAAATTAACAGAGTCTACAAGGAAAGTGAGTATCCCTATTTCTGTGATCCTCCTCCTCCGCCCCAGTTCTGTGCCTCTCACAGGAGCATGAGAGATCTAGGTTGCATGCTCCTTATGAGAATCTAGTGCCTGATGATCTGAGGTGGAGCTGAGGAGGTGATGCTAGCGCTAGGGAGTGGCAGCAAATACAGATCATCATTAGCAGAGAGGTTTGAGTGCACAGAGACCGTAACAAGTCATTTGCTTGCAGACTCACATCAAAGCCCTATCAGCGAGTGGCAAGTGCCAATGTAATAATAATAGAAATAAAATGCACAGTAAGTGCAATGCGCTTGGATCATCCCCAAACCATTCCTCCCCTCCCCTGTCCGTGGAAAAAAATTGTCTTCCATGAAACCAGTCCATGGTGCCAAAAAGGTTGGGGACCGCTGACATACCTCATTTTATACTTGGGAGTGAATTAACTAAATCCTCTGCTTGCATCAGAAATTCAGCTGCGTTTTCGACAGCTGGTTTGCACTGTCACTGCAGAGTTGTCATTTTTGTATAATAGGATTTCTTATCCTGCAAAACCGCATGGACAAGTGGACTTTGGGGGCCAGAGGAGGAACAGGCGGCTCTCAAGTCCTGGCCTGGATCCATGTGCCAGCCCTGACCGCATGACTTAGGGAAGGTCACTTTGCCTCTGTGTGTGGCTACACAGGACCCAGCGGGAAGTGACCTCTTGTTCATTTCTCCTGCTCTCACTTCTCCTCGGAGAACGTGCCTATGCAGCCCTTTTTGTGGAGTTGGGGGTCTTTGCAGAACCCATTGCTAATATTAGCACGTGAACATGCAGGAAAGGCATTTCCCCTGTGAATCTCAAGTTCTGGCCAGTGTGCAACTTAATGCCTACATGCCAGGGGAGGGAAGAGAAGTTATTTTCTCAAAGAACCCCCCAGTGGCACATGACGGACAGCCTGCAGCGTCCTGTGCACTCACATGGCCATCATTGCGGCAGCTCCCTGGCTCTGCCCTCTTCCTCTCCCACCTGCCCCGGGTGGTAGATAGAACCACCCACCTTCCAGAAATACACTTTTTCACCATTTTACTCCCCTGTTCAAATCCCATTTCTGCTACATCAAGTCCAAACTCTCCAATGCCTTTAAAGGTGCTCTGTGCCCTGGCCCTCCATCCTGCATCTTCTTCGCTGGGATTCTCTCCTGCTCGGCTCTGCCCTGGCGGGGCAGCACCTCCGAACCCGTGTGCTCTGCCTCGGCCCGTGCTGTCCTGCTTGTGCAGGACGGCTCTCTTGCCCTCCTCCTCACTGGCCACGGCGGACTCACCGGTCAAGGTTGCGCTCAGGCCCTGGCCCCGTGTTCTCACAGTCTGCTAGACTCCACTCTCTGAGTTCTCCCTTCATTTTCACTTCATGTCTTGGTCCTGCAGATTACCGTGTTGTTTTTCCATTCGTTCTATGCATATTTCTCCATGTGGCCTCTCTGAGAAAAGGAATCAATCTCATTAGCTTTCTAGGGGCACTGGATGGGAATTCTTTAAGGTGCTTATTAGCCCAGGACTGGGTACAGAGGGGGTCGATGATGGCAAGGGACAGCACCCCCCTGTCCTGCCTCAACTATTTTACCATTGCTTGGTCTTACCTAGACCTCAAAGCGAAGAAAAATTTTAAAGGGCTGTTTGTTCAGGAAATTAAGTAATGGCTTACATAAGTTGGGGAGAAAACGTTTTCCATTTAAAATACACAAAGAAATAGATTTGATATTCTTAATTTTTTTTTTCCTGCAGGGTAGAAGAGCAGAGGATGGCTCAGTCATTGATTATGAACTGATTGACCAAGATGCCCGGGTAAGTGCTGAGCTTTTTGCTTTGGGCTTCTGTTTTCTGGCAAGTCCCTGGAGAGTCTGTGTAGTAATCTATTCCTGTGTAACAGATCACCCCCAAACTTACGGCTTAAAACAACAGACATTTTTACTATCTCTCACTTTCTGTGGGTCAGGAATTGAGGAGTGGCTTAGCTGGACGGTTCTGGCTCAGGGTCTCTTGTGAGGTTGCTGACAAAACGTTGGCCAGGGCTGCAGTCACCCGAGGGCTTGACTGGGTCAGGGACCCACCGCCAGGTGGCACACCCACCCACACGACTGTTGGCGGGGCACGGTGGAGTCGCTCCCCGGAGGCCCCTCTGCCGGGTTGCCTGAGCGTCCTCACAACATGGCGGCCGGCTTGCCCTAGAGCGAGTGATGCCACGGAGAGAGAGCAAGCAGGAGACCACAGTGCCTCTTACGACCTAATCCCAGGAGTCGCACTTTGTCACTTCTGTCCTAGACTTTTCATTAGAAGTGGGTCACCGAGTCTGGCTCATCATCGGTGGGGGAAGGATTGGGCTTCACCTTTGGAAGGGAGGGATATCAGAGAATATGGGGCCATGTTTTAGACCCGCCACAGTCTGACGGCAATATTTATTAAAAGATATTCCCCTAGAATGCTGGTGTTAATTACAGGATCACTACCTGGCTTGCGTGTGCTCCTTCAGGCTTAGCTTGTATGGAGGTACCAGTCTGTGCAGGGTGTGAGTTGGCCGTGCACAGAGCAAGCGCGTGCAGAGGCAGAGGAAGATGGTGACAGCACAGCCAGGCACAGGAAGGCTCAGTCTCCCCCCTGCTGGGGACAGGGGAGGGAGGGCAGCAGAGGCCCTTCTTTTACAGCTCAGTAGCGCTTTTGCTGGTTCTAGTGCAGGGGTCCTCCAACTTTTTAAACAAGGGGCCAGTTCACAGTCCCTCAGACCGTTGGAGGGCTGTTGGCTCACATTCCACACATGCGCACTGTGGGCCTGGGACGAGTCGGCTGCTAAGCGGGACAGGCAGCGGCGGCAAAAACACCCAGAGGGCCGGATAAATGTCTTCCGTGGGTCGCATGGGGCCTGCAGGTGGTAGTTTGAGGACGCCTGTTCTAATGCCATAAATCTCCGAGAACTGTTTGTTTGTTAGGCTCATTCAGACTGCTATGGATGATGTTCCTTATTACTCAGTTATCTCAATGCCTGTCATAACAGCTGCAGAGAAAAATTAATTTAAATTCCTTTTTAGTTTTAAAATTCAACATATTCCACATAGCACTTTTAGCAGGTGGTAGAGAAGGGTTTTAAATAAAGTGATAGAAGTTGGGGTTTGCAACTCCCAGATGGTGGGCAATCCCTGAACGGATATGTGCTTTTGCATCAGCCTTTCTTCCCCTGGCTCTTCCTGCCATTGTCTGCGTTACTTGTAAAGCCTCTAAATTTTCCAGAAACTGAAAGTGAGATTGGATGGGCTCTTTTGGTAGCTCTGTTGTTTCCTGAACATTTGATGCCCTTTATATGAACAGAAGCCCTTGGTCCTTCCATTTGTGTTCGGGGAAGGAGGTTGTATGGCACCAACCTCATGAACAGTCTGCAGTCTCGTATTCTATCAGTTGGCGCCTCAGGAAGACTGCTTGTGATTAAGACTTTTGACCTAAATAGCATGTTTTTGCCCAGGTCTGCATTGCATTGCAGTCATCCTTTCTCATTTGGCATGTTGAACGTGTACACTGTTTGGGTTTTTTTTTTTTTTTTTTTTTTTGAGACAGAGTCTCGCTTCGTGCCCAGGCTAGAGTGAGTCCGATGGCTCAGCCTAGCTCACAGCAACCTCAAACTCCTGGGCTCAAGAATCCTCCTGCCTCACCTCCCGAGTAGCTGGGACTACAGGCATGCGCCACATGCCCGGCTAATTTTATATACTATATATAATATACTATATATATAATCTAGGTATATAATAGTTGGCCAATTAATTTCTTTCTATTTATAGTAGAGACGGGGTCTCGCTCCTGCTCAGGCTGGTTTCGAACTCCTGACCTCGAGCAATCTGCCCGCCTCGGCCTCCCAGAGTGCTAGGATTACAGGCGTGAGCCACCGCGCCCGGCCTGTTTGGGGTTTTTTGCATGGCATTTTTTATGCCCTTGCTCTGGATGGTGTAGTTGACTTCTCCTGGTTGGTTGTTCTTGTAGGATCTCTATGATGCTGGAGTGAAGAGGAAAGGAACCGATGTTCCCAAGTGGATCAGCATCATGACCGAGCGGAGTGTATGCCACCTCCAGAAAGGTGGGCACTGGAGGTGCTGAGGGGGTCTGAGTGCCCAGTGGCTCTTGGGCAGCCAGGCGGATGTCTGCTGTTGGGGCTGGGGCTGCCAGAACAAGGTTCACGTCCACTTGGCACTCCATGGGCCCACCCATGTCCCTCACCGAGTCCACTCCCCCCCCCATTGTTCTGGATCCTTCTTTCCCCCAGATAGTTTCCATGTTTGGTGCTTTAGCTTGCTGCCCCTTCTTGTCTGATGATCATTTCATCTTGCCATATTTGTTGAAGTAGTGGACTTTACTGGGTGCTACATACTGTTTCTTGTGGCTTTCAGATGGAGTGGGTTCTACTCAGGGGAGTTGGAGATGGTCAAAGTATTTGGCCTGGGCAGTGCCATTCGGGACAGGTGCATTGGTACAGCTGTTCCAGGACAAACTGGTGCAATGTTGGCTCTAGTCTCCATGGCAACCCTCCAGGATGCTGTTCATTCTCAATGTTTTTTTGTTTGTTTGTTTGTTTTTGAGACAGAGTCTCCCTCTGTTGCCCAGGATAGAGTGCCGTGGCATCAGCATAGCTCATAGCAACCTCAAACTCCTAGGCTCAAGCAATCCTTCTGCCTCAGCCTCCCGAGTAGCTGGGACTCCAGGCATGGTGTCGCATGCCCGGCTAATTTTTTCTACATATTTTTAGTTGGCCAATTAATTTCTTTCTATTTTTAGTAGAGACGGGGTCTCGCCCTTGCTCAGGCTGGTTTCGAACTCCTGACCTTGAGCGATCCTCCCGCTTTGGCATCCCAGAGTGCTAGGATTATAGGCATGAACCACCATGCCTGGCCCATCCTCAGTGTTTTTTTGATCATGATGCATAACTGTGTGGATGATCATTGGCAGCTTTGACTGGTGGCTCTGATCTGATAACCGTGTGTCGATTTTCCTTAGTATTTGACAGGTACAAGAGCTACAGCCCTTATGACATGTTGGAGAGCATCAAGAAGGAGGTCAAAGGGGACCTGGAGAATGCCTTCCTGAACTTGGGTGAGTGACCATGGCCCCCGCCCCTGGGGGATGTCAGCGTTCAGTGGACAGTGCGGAAGCATTTTAACTGTATACATTTAGGGATATAATAGCGAAGACGCGCCTAAACTGGTAGAACAGACTGTCGCCAGGGAGACTAGGACAGCAGGAGAAGACAGGGCTGTGTTAGGGAAACCCATAGGCACTTGCGATTCTCCAGTCCTCAGAGAGTCAAACCTACAGCGGAACTAGCATTAGCATTTCACGGGTTCCTGGATTTCCCTTTTTTTTTTTTGAGACAGAGTCTCACTTTGTTGCCCAGGCTAGAGTGAGTGCCGTGGCGTCAGCCTAGCTCACAGCAACCTCAAACTCCTGGGCTCAAGCAATCCTCCTGCCTCAGCCTCCCTCCCGAGTAGCTGGGACTACAGGCATGCACCACCATGCCCGGCTAATTTTTTTTTCTATATATATATTAGTTGGCCAATTAATTCCTTTCTATTTATAGTAGAGATGGGGTCTCGCTCTTGCTCAGGCTGGTTTCGAACTCCTGACCTTGAGCAATCCGCCCGCCTCGGCCTCCCAGAGAGCTAGGATTACAGGCGTGAGCCACCGCGCCCGGCCTTGCCTTAGCCTGTCCTGTTTTGCAGCCCATTTCTAGTTATGTCAGGGTCATTTCTGGTTCGTGGCCTGCGGTCAGGGTGTCCCGCCCCACTGGGGGAGGAGACACGCGTGACTGCAGCCCTGACGCTCGTCTTCTCTCCGCAGTCCAGTGCATCCAGAACAAGCCCCTGTACTTTGCCGACCGGCTGTATGACTCCATGAAGGTAAAGGGCGGCCGCCTGAGACGCCCCCGTTTCCACACTGGGCTTTGGGGTTTAGGCTTTTCTGCTTTTGTGCCCCAAACTAAGTCTCCTTGGCCAGTGGTCAAGGGGTCCCACTGTCTGGACGGAGGAATACAGTAGGAACCACAGCTGTGGTTGTATTTGATGGGTGAGAAAGCCAGAGATCCATCTTCTCGCTCTCTCGGCTGCGTGAAGATGTGTTTGTGTGCGAGCAGAAAATAAAGTGCCGTGGGAGAGAGAAAATGCGAGATGGTAGTGATGCTGATTCCTGCTCTGGCTTTTCAGTGGTTTCCTCCTGTCACCCCTAAAGTAAAGACAAGTGAGGAAGGGAGAGACCATTAAGCACCTACTATTCAATAGACACGTGCTACTGTTTTACCTTAAATCCTTGCAAAGCAACCTCTGAGGCTGATGTGATTATCTTCTTTGCAGATGAGGAGACTGGAGCTCGGAAAGCCTCAGCTTGCTTGAGGTTACGTAGGCCAGATTTGAAGCTGTCTGTCACACTCCAAGGCCAGCCCTGCCACTCTCCCTTAAAGGGACCGTCTCTTCCCACAGACCTATCCCATTTTCCATGCCTCAGCAGTGCCTTGCGTTTTCCAGGCTGTTGCCATTTCTTCTGGAAACATCTCTCTTGCCTGTGCAGTCTCTCTCCCACCTCCCCTTGGGTTCTGTGTTGGATATGACCCCTTGGTGCCTCTGGTCTGAGGCCCTGGCAGTGCGCTCAGTGGTCCTTACTGCTCGTACCACTCAGACATGGCGGAGCCGAGATAAAAGCACGTTGGCATGTCCTCTCTAAGCCCAGAGAGTCCGGAACCTTTTGTTACGTATGTTGACTCACTGACCTCTGGAACCGAGCCTTGCAGTAGTGGGCGCTCAGGATGCGTGTATTGAACATGCAGAGCGAAAGTTTGTGCTGACGCTGGTGTGTTTGGAATTCCAAGACGCTCATTTTTCTTACGGAAATAATTTCACTGTTGTGCTTGGCAGCATCAAGAATTCAGATCAGTTCCACATGCAAAAAAAAAAAAAAATACTTACTATAGGCTCAGTATCCCTTATCTGAAATGCTTGGGACCAGAGGTATTTCAGATTTGGAATTTTTTTGGACTTTGGAATATTCCCATATATATAATGAGATATCTTGCGGATGGGACCCAAGTATAATATAAACACCAAATTCATTTATGTTTCGTATACACCTTATACACATAGCCTAAAGGTAGTCATGAAACAAAGTTTGTGTTAAGTACTACGTGTGGAATCTTCCACTTGTGGTGTCATGTTGGTGCTCAGAAACCTCTGAATTTTGGAGCATTTTGGATTTCAGATTTTCGAACTAGGGATGCTCAGCCCGTAGACTCTTTTTCAATGACAACGTTCTCCGTGAATGTAACTTGGAACGTCCGCTTGACTTTCAGGGCAAGGGGACTCGAGACAAGGTCCTGATGAGAATCATGATCTCGCGCAGTGAAGTGGACATGCTGAAAATCAGGTCTGAGTTCAAGAGGAAGTACGGCAAGTCCCTGTACTACTACATCCAGGTACGGCCCTGCAGCCTGCCCTGCCGTCCGGCCCGGGGGGAGGTGGCCGGCAAAATGATGGCAGAATGGTGGTTTCCTGTTTTGTAATTCTCTGGGGGGAAGAAATGCTGGTCATCGCATATCAGGGATTTATTTTGAAAGCGCCAGTTATAATTTGTCCTGGACTCTTGTAGAACCAGGCAAATATTTTATAGTTTCCACATCTGTTACTCTGCAGTGGTGTTTTTTTTTTTAATTTTTTAATTTAATTTTATTTTTTTGAGACAGAGTCTCGCTTTGTTGCCCAGGCTAGAGTGAGTGCCGTGGCGTCAGCCTAGCTCACAGCAACCTCAAACTCCTGGGCTCAAGCAATCCTTCTGCCTCAGCCTCCCGAGTAGCTGGGACTACAGGCGTGTGCCACCATGCCCGGCTGATTTTTTTCCTATATATATTAGTTGTCCAATTAATTTCTTTCTATTTATAGTAGAGACGGGGTCTCGCTCTTGCTCAGGCTGGTTTCAAACTCCTGACCTTGAGCAGTCCACCCGCCTCAGTCTCCCAGAGTGCTAGGATTACAGGCGTGTGCAGTGGTGTTAATATTAACAATTGGTGTTCATGGCGATGATCCTGCTGACATCCTGAGGAGACTTGGAGGATATCTTGTTCTATTTCTATGTGTTGAAAAATCCTGGGATGGGCCTGACAGCTTTAGTTCTCAGGACTCCCAGTTCTCCAGTGGGTTTAGTCTCTGTCCACTTCAGAGTGATGGCACGTTAGCGTGTGGGGAGTGATGGCGTCCACAGGGGTGCCGCTGTGTCTGTTTCAGACAGGCTTTGCAGTTCACCTTGTGAAAAGATCCTGCAACGTCCGTGGTTGCAGGCATGTCTGTGGTTGCCAGGGATGAGTGTAGACGTGGATTTGGTGTCCCCAGGTTTACTGGGACACATATTTAAAGTTGAGGGACCAGTTAGGTGGACTCTTAGCAATTATTTCCTTACCTCACTGTAAGAATCCAGGAAAAGCAGAGTAAGGCAGGAAGGCACCCTCTCCTCTGTGGAGGGAGAGGGGGAAGGGGAGGGAGAGAAGAAGGGGAAGGGGGGAAGGGGAGGAGAGGGAGAGGGGGAGTGGGAGGTGTGGACAGGACCCGCCCTGCAGGAAGAGCAGCTCTGGCCACTTACCTGTGCAAAGCCTCGGCACCTGGCACTCTCTCCACCCTGCAGTCTTTATATTTATCATTTATTGAGACAGAGTCTCACTCTGTCACCTGGGCTAGAGTGCCGTGGCATCAGCCTAGCTCACAGCAACCTCAATCTCCTGGGCTTAAGCAATCCTCCTGCCTCAGCCTCCCGAGTAGCTTGGACTACAGGCATGCTCCACCATGCCCGGCTCATTTTTTCTGTATACATTAGTTGGCCAATTAATTTATTTCTATTTTTAGTAGAGATGGGGGGACTTGCTCTTGTTCAGGCTGGTTTCGAACTCCTGACCTCGAGCGATCCTGCCACCTCGGCCTCCCAGAGTGCTAGGATTACAGGTGTGAGCCACGGCACCCGGCCCCATCCTGCAGTCTTAGCCGGGGACTTGAAAGTCTTCCCTACCCGCCGCCCCGACCACACTCCCAGAGGGTGTCCGGCGAGGGTTGGGGTGTGGGCGGGCCCTGCAGAATCCATCTTTGTCGTGGGAGAGGCCCTGCTGCACGCTGAGGCTGCTTCTCTGTCCTTGTGGGCTTGGCCTTTTCTCTGACACCCCGTTTTTTTTTTCTCTCCCTTGGCCATCTGCAGCAAGACACTAAGGGCGACTACCAGAAAGCGCTGTTGTACCTGTGCGGCGGGGACGACTGAAGCGCCCGGGAACGGTGCTCGCCGCGCTTCCAGCTAACACGCCTAGAAAACCAGCTTGCCGCTAACAGCCCTGTGGCCGTCCCGAGAGGAGGGCGTCAGCGTTGCCCCCAGCCTTATCTTAGCAGCCCGAGCATTGCCTGGCCTTCCTGTCTAGTCTCTCCTTTAAGCCAAAGAAACGAACATTCCAAGCAGTTGGAAACGGCGTCTATGATGTGAAACACTCTGCCTCTTGTGTACTGTGTCATAACCAGGTGAATAAACTGAATTTTTACTTTAAAGACAAGCACTTTGTTGGCCTTGCTTTCGGGTTAATTGTTTAAAAACTCGATGTGCAAAAGGGTTATGTTGTTCAGCTGCTAGCGTTGTGCCTGGGGGAAGAAAGCTCTAGAATCGAGCTGTCCAACATGGCAGCTACTCTAGAGATGTGGCTATTTTGATTTAAATTAATTTCAATTGAATGAAGTTAAAAATTCAGTTCCTCAGTCACTGTCCTGCATGTGGTTAGCCGCTAGTGTATTGGACATGCAGGTAGAGAATGTTTTTATTACCGTAGAGTGTTCTGTGGGCAGTGTGCTACATGCCCAGGGGGTGAGAGATCTTACGGGGGAGAAAAAAAAAATGCCAGAATGACCCCTCATGTGCTCATCTTTCCACGGGTAAATTAGGAGAGACAAGTGTCAGTGGCGGCCACGAACTGGGCAGAGGGGTGGGACGGGGTGGAGGAGTCAGTTCAGCAGATATTGCAACTCTCTCTGTAAGTCACTAGACTTACAGAGATAAATAACATCCTGCCCCAGCCCCAAAGCACTCGCCTTTTAGCGAGTCAGGCATTCCTATAAAGGAAATCTAACAAAAGTGGATTGGGGACACAGAGAAGAAAGTGGTGTCTTTCCACTGGGAGAATCGAGAAAGATGACAAAGGGAAGGAAACCCGGGATCTGCACCCTAAAGTCTAAGCTGGGGCGAAGCTCTCTGTGCAGATTCTTAAGTTTCTGACAGTGGGTGACAGGGTGTTCGTGTAGCTGGTGCACAGGCCCCAAAGCACACAGACTGTACGATGAGAATTAGGTCTCACCCCACCCTTACCCGAACCAGCCGGCGGCCTTCCCCAGGGTCACCTGGTTTCCGGTACATCTTTCCATGGACGGACTCTGCATGGTAAACATGTATTTGTATTTATGTGTCTCTGTGAGTGAACGTGAAGGTGCTGTTCACAGGCTGCTAGCCCAGCACGCTGTGGACTCCTTTTTTTTTTTTGAGACAGAGTCTCGCTTGTTGCCCAGGCTAGAGTGAGTGCCGTGACGTCAGCCTAGCTCACAGCAACCTCAAACTCCTGGACTCAAGCAATCCTGCTGCCTCAGCCTCCCAAGTAGCTGGGACTACAGGCATGCGCCACCATGCCCAGCTAATTTTATATATATATATATTAGTTGGCCAATTAATTCCTTTCTATTTATAGTAGAGACGGAGTCTCACTCTTGCTCAGGCTGGTTTTGAACTCCTGACCTTGAGCAATCCGCCCGCCTCAGCCTCCCAGAGTGCTAGGATTACAGGTGTGAGCC